ATTTTAATTGTAATATTATGGGTCATTGAGCCCTCTTGTGGTTGTTAGAGTAACTACAGATGCAGATTGCAAGTGTCACATTTCATTGACTTGCAACCTCAAACCATTATGTATTTTGTTCATGTGTATTTTATTTATAATTCTTAAAGTGCAGTATTACACCTGTGGTCCTCACTGAATGTATTTGCACATGCTAGTGACCCGTGACAAGAAGCTCGACCTTAAGAAGAAACAGACGCAACGGAATGTATTTCGCGGTCATGCGTTTGGAATAACTGGAAGTGGCAAAACTGGTTTCCTGCAGGGCTTCCTCGGCAGAAACCTTGTGGTCAGTTGCAACAAGAAAAACACTCCATTTAAGTGAAAAACCATAACCCACACAGACCTATTAACTTAATTGTGATATTTTTTATTTTGTCTTTAGAATGGAATAAGCAGTTTACTTGACACTTTTCAATAAATTTCAGTTTGTTAAAATTTGCTAATGTATTAGGGTTTCTGATAAACAGTTTCTACAGGGTATATTAATATAGGTTACTGTTATTTTGTAAATATACGATTGTTTATTAATAATTCATGTTTATTAATGTTAAATTATGTTACAGTTCATTGTTAGTTTATGATACTTAAGGTATTAACAAATGTAAAGTATTGCAGAAGCATTTTTATAAGCCCTTGCGCAGTGTTAGATTTCATCAGAGGTGCTGTGTGTGGAGAGAAAGAAACACCCAACAACATCATTTCGAAACCAAGGCATTTTACAATCTCATCTGTGGTATTTCTGATATCATTTGCGTTCCATTCGTCAAAAGATTTGTTAACATTTTTTTTTAAACATTTATTTCAGATGTGACATTGTCATGATTATTTTTTTTATTACTGTCTGTTCCTCGCAGCGTCAGAAGGCCATAAAAGAAGAACACAAATCATATTATGCAATCAGCACTGCACATGTGTACGGACAGGAGAAGTACTTGTTGGTAAATAGATATTTGGCTTACAGGAACTTACACTTTAGGGTTTTTTTTTCAGTCTGTTTAACTATATTAATGCTAAACACTTTTTTTGTGGAAAAGCATTTATGCCATATGAAGAGTTCAGAGATTTGACCACTATTTATCATGATAGTTTCCCGAAAAAAGATGCTGAATCTTTGAAACTTTGTTCTACGTTTGCTTGTTTTTCCTTCAGCTCCATGAAATCTTTCCAGATTTTGATTTCCTGTCTGAGACTGAACTTTCATGTGACATTGTGTGTCTGATCTATGATGTCAGCAACCCTTGCTCTTTTGAGTACTGTGCACGAATCTTCAAGGTTTGCTTTTACACATTTACCTCACCTTTTTTTGCTTTACAGAAAGAGCAAAGCCAATACTGTGTCTAATTATTAAATACAGAGTAATTAAACTGCAATACATTAACACATGACTTCACGTCTTTCGTCTTATTCCTTTATGACTGTAATTTACTTTTATACATGCCATATTCTGCATCAAAACTTATGATATTGACTGTTTTCTTTTTATATTACACTGATTTGTATGTTCTTAATGCAATTTTTACTTTATTTACCAGCAATACTTTATGGATAGTAAGACTCCATGCATGTTGATTGCGGCAAAGTCAGACCTGCCAGAAACAAAGCAGCAATATTGTATGACTCCACTGGAATTCTGTCGCAAGCACAAGATGCCGCCGCCTCAGTCCTACACCTGTAACACAGCTGCGGCTCCCAGCAAAGACATCTTCATCAAACTCACCACCATGGCTGTGTATCCGTAAGTGATCTCTCATGATCCACAATTTTTGAGGGCACTTTAACACAGGACCAGAATTCTATATAAATTCTTCGTACAGTTACCTTTGTATTCAAATGATTCATTTTTACATTTTTTTGAGTTTTGTCTTGTATTCTTTCTGTTTTAATTGACTACTCTTGTTTATTTCTCAGGATATTTCCACGTAGAGATAACAATAAAAACAATACATGCTTAGGTGGTTTACTCCGAATTAATAATTTCCCTAAATACAGAAAGCTTCTCCAAACTGTCTGACTGCAAAGCATCTTATGAGTCAGATGACAGTTTTCTGTTCTTCAATTCTCATTCTCAATTCTGTTCTCATTATGAAATCACACTGTCTACCGAACATATTAATTTATATTCAGTACAGTTTGCAAATCTCCAAGCATGTGATATAAATCGTATTTTTCCCTGTTTTTCCCCTCGTTGTGTAAGACAACAAGAGAGACAATGTAGACAGGAAATACTAGAGAATGTTACGCTTGTTTGAAAGAACTTGAGGGAGCATTCTAATTAACATATTCTATATTTCAAGACTTTCCTCTGTTTGTTAACTCAGAAGTACACTACTTTATATCCTGTTTCTTAGTGACTCATTTCTGCTGTTTGCCTGTATCTTTCTGTGTTTGTTGGCAGCCATGCGCGTCTGCGCTGCATGTGTACCTGTAACAGGTGTACCTTCTGTCTGTGTCAGAACTTCCTGAACTCTGAGCTCGTGCAGACGGTTCGGACCAAACTCTACACTGTCATCTTTAGCAGGTTCTTAAGATGGCTTTATCTTGGTTCATCACCTTTCCTCTGCACTTATCGCTCTTGCTTTTATCGTAATTCATCCTCTTTTTTTCTCCATTTAATTATTCTCATTCTGATTCACATTAATTTGGCAGTTTGGCAAAGTGCACCTGGCTTAACATGCTAATAAACACTTGACCATATAGACTACATGAAAATACATAAGTGGACAGGCCTAGGCTAGAGAGTTGCTGCAGTTAAGATGTTCTGTGGACTTTTTTAGCTTATTTCAGTGTTGGGCTGTAGATTTTTAGAGGCTTTTGGATACTTTTTCAATTCATTCCAGATTAGTTCTATAACATTTTTCACAAACATGTAGATCCAAAGGAGCTTAACAAAGAGTAGTGCAGTGCCACACAAATCCCTGCAGTGAACAAGTCAAATGACAAGGAAGAAACTCCCTAAGATATTTTGGTAGATAAGAAAAATCCTTTGATGGAACCAAGAATGTAGGGACTTTAAGACTGGGAAAGCCCACTTTCTTGTGCTTTATACAAACATGTATTTTTATTTTTAATGGTGATATTGACTATATTATTTAATTATACATAATGACTACTCTGACTTCTAATAAAATAACAATTAATACGATATGCAAATAGAATGTGATGCACCCTCGCATATACCACATATGACAAAAACAAGTTATGACTGTCATGGCAAATGGGCGGCAGGTATGGATTTGGGGTTTAGATTTAAGCACGATCCTGCACATGTCTAAATTCATGTCATTCTCATCTGACTTGCAACTTGTGACATGCAGCAGTTCAGTCTTTCATTCTCCTACAAGTTGCAACACAGTTGATCTAGTTATTACCATTTTCCTCTTTATTTCCTCTTCTTACAGTTTCTTTATGTTCTCCATCTGCATTGCTATTTCCACAGAAATTTGTCATATTTCTTCATCCTTGATCTTGGGTTGAGTTTTGTAATGTTTTAGTGTTGCACATTAATATCATTTTCTTCATTCCCTTTAAATAACACTTTGACTATATCCAGCATTTGTTATCCTGTTCATTTGAATTCATTGTTTTGTCTATTTTCGGGCATTATTGTCCACTAAACTTGTGTTTTAGTTTTATTTGAATGTTCACTACAGAAGTTAAACTTTTGATTTATTTTATTTATCTGAAATACTCACCCTCATGTCGTTCCAAACCTGTACAAGTCTCTTCCTTATGTTGAACAAAAAATAAGATATTTTGAAGAATGCTGGCAATCAAACCATTGCTGGCCCCTATTGACTTCCATAGTAGGTAAAAAATACCTTCTTTTGAGTTAAACATAAGATCGAAACTTAAACAGGTTTGGAACGACATGAGGGTGAGTAAATGATGACACAATTTTGATTTTTGAGGTGATCTATTCCTTTAAGCTACAAAAGCTGTATAGTAAATGTAAGGTACTAAAACAAATGTAACTTTTTTTGTGTTCTATTCAATAGAAACTTCATTTCTATTTTCTTTCTCAGGCATATTACCCATGCTGACCTGAAGAGCTCTACGTTTTGGCTCAGAGCAAGTGTTGGAGCCACAGTTTGTGCTATGCTTGGCTTTGCAATGTACAGAGCCCTCCTTAGACCTCGATGAGCAGACCCAAAAACTTACTTCCTTCATTTCCTGTCTACCCTAGTTATTCCCCATGTACAGGGAAAACCAATAGAAATATTTAATTTTTAAAAAGAAAGCATAAAGTAACATAGCTGTTATATTTCTATTTAATTATTACTGTAGTATGCACATTCCCAGGTCTTGGGACTCGGTGTGAGACAGAAAACTAGAATGTTTTTTATTTACAGTTTATGCAAGCAAACTGTAAATATGTAAATGAGAGAAAATATTTATTTGTTACAAAGTGACATTACAAACATATAGCATTCATATTTAAAGCCAACAAATGCAACACTTCGTTCTCACTTTTGTCTCAAAATGTCTGATGGACTGTTTGCAGTCCAAAATCAACCAAGTGTGAGACAAGACAGGAAGTCACATCTTCTGCTTGTGTAAATGCCAGGCTGAAATGTCACTCAACCTTGTATAAGTTATTTGCATGCTTTAATATTTGACATATGTCTGAACAGAACAATGATGTGAAAGTTTGTCAGTTTCCGCCTTTTCCAACATTTCAATAAACAGGTCCTTCAACAATGTATTTTTGTGAAATCACAACACTTTTTTTTAATGCAGAGAATGCAGACAGTGGGAAAAACACTGTTGCCAGTATATCACAAGATACTTGATCTTTTATCAGAACTATTTTGTGCTACAGACAAAAAAGCAGATCATTTCTCTATCAAAAATGCTGTAAGCTGACATTCTGTATTTGTAGCATTAAAATTGTCTTGAAATACCATTAACAAGAAGGTATATAGATGAAAGGATGAAAAGACAAATTTTATGCTAACAAAAAAACGTTTAAAGCTGATGATTCCGAAAGGTTTTGTGGGTGAGCATCATGATGAACATCAGCGCTTCAGTAGAGCCACTTCCCAGTCAACACAGTTTGTTAAATCAATTGACATAAAGGTTTTCGTTGCAGAACAAATGGGCCACAGAGCTGTTTGCTTCCTCCAGTTTTGCAATATCAGTGTGACAGAATTTCTCTATCAAAAATGCTGTAAGCTGACATTCTGTATTTGTAGCATTAAAATTGTCTTGAAATACCATTAACAAGAAGGTATATAGATGAAAGGTTTTGTGGGTGAGCTGGAGCATCATGATGAACATCAGCGCTTCAGTAGAGCCACTTCCCAGTCAACACAGTTTGTTAAATCAATTGACATAAAGGTTTTCGTTGCAGAACAAATGGGCCACAGAGCTGTTTGCTTCCTCCAGTTTTGCAATATCAGTGTGACAGCGTGTGGCTTTTCCTTTGGTGGGCCGCACCCCGGCCATCTCCTCATAAACAGGAACTACAGGCTGTGGCTTTCTACGGTTAAGCCATTTACACTGTATGTGAGAGGAAATCAGTAGAAGGGAGGGTTTAACCGAAACGCTGAATATGTAGTGGGGAGTAAACCATGTATAGTCGGAAAGATAGCTTCTTTAAACCACATATTAGGTAGCAAATCTCTGTCACATAAGATTTAAATGCAAATATGGGCCAAATGATTGAGAAAAGTATTCCAATTCCTTTGTTTAAATTTTTTTTTTAATATTTTGATATTGGATATGTAAAATAAAAGACATCAAGTTAAAATTAACTTGAAACTGAAATTAAATCAAATGTTTTTTTTGTATCTGTCTTTATGTAATCTTTTACATATTCCCCAATAAAGACGACCAATTTTTTGAGAAAAATATAACTATGGCCTTATTATGCATTTTGTAATTTCAGTTAAAAGCAGTGTTCGTTGACTATATTTAGAAGTATTTTGTATTTCTAGCTTGCCTAAAGAACAACTCAGTGAAACACGGCACAGGTTACCTCACTCTCCCCTAAAAATCAAATATGAAACTATAATGAAAATACTTACACAGTAAGCTGTAGCGAGAGTGAAAACCAGAACACCCAGCAGACATGCAGCTCCAGAGATCACATACAGCAATGGTAGGTAACTTGAACAACTACAAGGCTCATGAGCTGCAACAGTCACAACAAAAACACACACATACAGAAAACATGCTCAATGATATAATCTGTTGTATTTCCACACTTTATATGGTTATTTACATTTTATGTAAGATACACCATTTATGATGACTACTATTATTTTAGTCATTTGCATATATACATATATATATATAAACTAAAGTAGAATCTAAAATAATTATGCACAAAAACGGTCCTTCTCTCTTTTTGTAGGCTAATTGTACTAGTTAGGTTTCTGCCTAACTTGATCTTATTTAAGTTTTCCCAGGTTCTGTAACCATCAGCTGAAAATAAAAAGGCTGAAAAAGACATTACACAAGCAGGTACTTTTGGTCCTCTAATTTGATTGGTGAATCAAACCGTGCAAAAGTGGTACATGTTTATTGTATAACATCTTTTGCAGACTTCTGACTACTAGATTTTACAAACCATATACGAATAGTGAGTTAGTTTCTAGGCTTTGTGCCTACTGCTGCAATAATATTCACTAAAGTATTTTTCATAATTCATTTTTCATAAATTGCAGGTATCTAAGGTCTTGATTTAATGGATTACAACATGTTTCCATACAGTTCTTGTTGAGGTAAGGTATAATAAAAGCACATTGCAGGACTAGTCAATCAATATCAATTCATTGTCCTACAGTTCTATCCAAAAAAAAAACAGCATGCCACACTGCATGAAAATCATGCACTAAGTTAAATATTTTCAGTTGAAATTACAATGCATCTGTATGATTTTGCTTTTCCTTTTTAAAGATAATGGTAGATTTAATGCAAAATTAACCTATTTTGGGCTATTCCCAGTGTTTGGAGGGGATATTACCATAGACCTCATATTTGAAGTGATATCAGTAAAGGTCACCTACAGAAGTCTTCAATGTAGATGAAGAACTCCATCTTGCCAGGAACATTCTTATCATATGGAAGATCACCATAGTGGAATTCACAGTGGTACACGTCTGTGTCCTGTCCTTGCAGGTTTGATATTGTCAGATGAACTGTGTGGTTGTCCAGCTCATCACGTACAGTGATGCGATTCTTGTCCTCAGATTTATTGATAAACGGTGGGAATCCTTTAGAAAGATACATCACTCGTCTGGACTGCAGCAACCTGCGTTTCAGCGAAAAGGCAAACGGTTTTTCTTCTTTTTTTGCCGATTCACAGGAAATGTCAATGGATGAATTTCTTACTCTGTGGATATAAACAATACCCCCATGTGCTGAGGTGAAATGACTTAAAGTTAGTCACATTTGATAGATGAATCACATGCATTGCAAAACACATTCAAGTTACACACAGTTTCCTAACACAACTGCCCTAGACCGCTAAAATAAAATCCAGCATTGTCAAATGCAAAAATGTAATATGTTTGACTGCAAAGTGTACATTTCTGCATGTAAATTTTAGTTTCACGCCATTTTATGAATTTACCACAATGTCTTTTATAATCTTCAAAAAAACTACAATAAAAGTTCAAACTGAATAAAGTATTAACTTACCAGTTACAGAAGGGGTGATAAGAAACAAGAGAACAAAATGAGCATACTTAAAACCTAACATTATTAAAAAGTAAATTAAAAAAAGAAAATAGTGACTGGTTAGGAAGCCAGATAGTCTCTGAGCATAACGAAATCATGCCACGTGAAAATTTTAAGCAGTGTTTTGACTCCACCTTAAAGCTTGAAGAGGAAAAGGAAACCAGTGTTAAGTGGTTTGTCAATTTCAGTTTCATCATTGTGAAAATGTACAGATTTTTGCTAACAGAGTCTGGGTTATCTTAATATATTGATTAATGAGATGTATTATAATATTACACCACCCAAATATTTAGGCTACTACCTTCTAATTTTCGTTGTCAGTGCAGGCTTATTATTTTTTTTAGCTTAGGCTACTGACCGTTATGGATTAGTGTAGCCTGCATTAAAAAGTCTTGAACATAAAACAACAGGATAAAAATATAGTTGATGACTAGACATAATAATTTCATGACTCTAGAGTCTAGACACTTTTTTGTGAAGACAGTGGCATAATACAGTGAAATAATATGTTTAGCCATATAAATACAGCTGTCATGTGCGTGGGTAAAATTTACCCGCTGGCGCTTTTAGGTATACAGCGACCTCTGGCGGTTCTAGTGTTAACTCTGTCTTCCATTTTGTATTTTTGGGTAAGAATAAGAAGCACTTCTTCTGGTACTTAGTGTCTTTCACTTCAACATAAGAAAACATTTCTGGAATCTGCATCTGAAATAGCATTTAGATGTATTTACACAGTTTAATGCAGGGGTGTCCAAACTCGGTCCTGGAGGGCCGGTGTCCTGAAGAGTTTAGCTCCAACCCCAATTAAAGACACCTGAACCAGCTAATCAAGCTCTTACTAGGCATACTAGAAAGACTTAAAGACAGGTGTGTTGAGGCAAGTTGGAGCTAAACTAGGGTGACCATACGTGCCATTTTCCCAGGACACATCCTGGCCAGGATTTCTATATCGCCTAAAATATATAGGTTTTGGCTTTGTTTGCGTGTGCAGACCGATCGGTGTATTATCAAAATATCTTGAGATTCATTCATGGAACAAATTATTTAAAGTCTGTGTGAACCGGAAGCTGCTGCCGACTTTATTTCAGTGTAGTGACGTATTTCCAGCTGAAACGGAATATTGAATAGAGGGCATGGTTTTATTTGGGCACTCCTCCTTCTGTCTCTCACTCATAGCAAACTAACGGTTGGAGGGGTGTGTTTAAAGGGATAGTTCACCCAAAAATAAAAATTTTTATGTTTATCTGCTTACCCCCAGGGCATCCAAGATGTAGGTGACTTTGTTTCTTCAGTAGAACACATTTGATGATTTTTAAGTCTAACCGTTGCAGTCTATCAGTCTTATAATGCATGGCAATGGTAACAAAAACTATGAGAGTAAAACAAACATGCACAGACAAATCCAAATTAAACCCTGCGGCTCATGACGACACACTGATGTCCACTGATGTCCAAACAGTATTTATTATCATATTTTACCTCTAATACACCCCTATGTCCAACTGTCTTTGGGCGCGCTCGGCATCCGGTGCGTGAGGTGTGTACACAGTTTACGCAAGCGCCGGAAGTGATCTCTCGCACGTATACGTCACTCATTGTTTACACAGTGCACAGTCATTGTAGGTACGACAGCTAATCAAAATGGTACTTACTTGCGCTTATCCGGATTGTTCAAACCAACTTAAAACTAAAAGATTACATTCTCTCGCGCAAACTCATTCGGGAGTGGTGACTTTCCACGTATTCCCAACTTCTGAGCCTGCTCGCCTGAAGTTATGGTTGATTGCTCTTCGGCTGGATATCAACACACTGTGACGAGTCGGCTGCCTCCCCCTAATTATCAGCATCACCCCGTCCCTTAATCGCCGCCCTTCGCCAGGCTCCCGACATGAGTGGGTGCGTGTGAGAGGAGGGGCGCTGAAATAGCCAGGGCTGGCGGGGTGTGATGGGGCACACCTGAACCGAATGGAGCCTCATCACCGCCGCTGTTTAAATGCCGAGCGCGCCTCTCCTCGGGAGACCGGTCTCTTCCCCGTGCATGCACGCTGGTGTCCTCGTGGGTCCAGGAGGGGTGCGTAGAGGGACTCCCGTGCCGCCAGAGTCGTGAGCTGCCGAACCCGCAGTCCGGACGAGAACCGCCCCCGTTACACGACCGTAGGGCAAGGATGCCGGGCCGTCTAGTCCCTTCAAGCGCCGTGGGCAGAGAGAAGGACAAAGCCGCTGAAAGGACCAGAGAGGGCAAGCGGCCACCGGACTCCGCCCCTTACCTGGACCCTTCCTTCCTGACCACTGCCCTTCCCTTCACGAACCCCGCAGCACGACGAGGACACCAGATCCCCTGTTTATTTTGGACACTTGATTCCCTTTTTCTGGACACTTTGTTTATTTTCTGTTAATAAAAGCCTCTCCGAGGCCTTACGCCACACCCACTGTGTCTGTCCCCAGTCTATCACACCCACTGATAGACTGCAACAGTTGGACTTAAAAATCATCAAATGTGTTCTACTGAAGAAACAAAGTCACCTACATCTTGGATGCCCTGGGGGTAAGCAGATAAACATCAAATTTTCATTTTTGGGTGAACTATCCCTTTAAGTATATTCTGCCCAAGCCGTCAAACTGACATCATCAGAGAAGGAATGCCATTCCAGAGCAGGAGTAAATGTTCAGATTTTGATTAAAGATTACTGAAACAAACAAAATTTTTGTCAGCGGATTAACTTGCACAGATTAATTGTTCACATCAAGACCAGTGGCGGCTCGTCGGGGGAGGCACAGCTTCCCCAAAATTGAGGTGAAAATAGGCGGAGGACGATTTAATGTTAATAAAATTCAGTTAATTTCAGTTCATGTCTCAGAATGTGTATTTTTTTGTTTGTAATTTCACAGCTGTAATACCGTAACTTGTTAAAGTCATATGATGCAATTTCAAGTTTTCCTTTCTCTTTGGAGTGTTACAAGCTGATTGTGCATAGATAAGATCCCTGAAGTTGCAAAGACTAAAGTCTCAAAACCAAAGAGATATTCTTTATCAAAGTTAAGACTCTGCCACGCCTCCCTAAAATGGCTCGTTCTAACACGCCCCCACATATCTACCTCACTACACTCTTAAAAATAAAGGTGCTTCACGATGCCATAGAACAGGGGTGGCGAACGTCGGTCCTGGAGAGCCGCAGCCCTGCAGAGTTTTGCTTCAACCCTAATCCAACACACCTGAACAAGCTAATCAAGGTCTGAAGGGTTACTAGAAAGCTACAGGCAGGTGAGTTTTAATTAGGGTTGGAGCTGAACTCTGCAGGGCTGCGGCTCTCCAGGACCGGAAAGAGAACAGATGCAAATATCTACATAACACAGCTTTAGAGTTGATGTAGCTTTTAGATATTTTAGAATATTAATCTAATGAAGTGTTCTGACATTATTAAACACACACATGCTTTCCGAGTTTCTTTGATTTTCGAGTTTTCAGACTGTCCCTGTCTGCTTCAGTGGCCCTCAGTAGATATATTATGTCATTAAGGCACAGACAGGCAGAGCACCCTCACCCAATCTCACCCTTGGGCAAACACTGACTGGCAGTGGCCGCCACATGCCTGGTCACTCAACCCTGAGAGATTGTGGTTCATGTCACTGTCTCTTAGACCTGTTCTTTGAGTGACTATGCTGGGTAGACACCCGCTGTCATCCAAGGGTGAGGGAGCATTTGGGCCCAGACAGATTCAGGCCATGACAGAGGTTATACAACACGCCCCTCCTCAGGGTGTCCTGAGTGCCCTAAAATGAACTCCAATGCCATTTTCACTAGATGATTCATCACTGTAAAGTCTACAGGACTCACAAGGACTTGATAAACTAGCGACAAACTTAAAAAGTGATAATGATTGAACTGTTGACTTTTAGTATTTTTAGTCATTGCTTACAAGGTGTAGTGCTTGCGGTGTTCAGCCAATCACAATGCACTGGGTCAGCTGGCCAATCAGAGCAGACTGCGCTTGTCGGAAGGAGGGGGCTTTGTTGAATACGAAGCGTTTGAGAGAGGCAGGGCATTGAGGACCTACAATAACGTACAGTATTTGAAAAAGAATGTGTTTCTTGAACATTAAAGCATGTCAACATATTCTGTTACACCAAATACACAAAATAATGATCTTTAAAAAAGCATCATATGACCCCTTTATTAATGAAGTTGGAAAGCGCTGCTTTTCTATCGCGAATGTGCCGAATCTGCTGTTGATGTAATTACAACCGCTAGGTGATAAAGAAGGGGAGGGGTAGGCTGGGGGAGAGCTGAGCTCTCGTGCCTCCGTTGGTAAACAAATTAGCCAATCACCATCGAGTGTTCACTTTCAGCGCTGAGGAGTGTTGAGAAAAGAAACCTCGTAGAGGAGGCTAGCCTCCCTTCTGATATCAACCAATCATCATAGAGACATAAATTACGTGATATTAGTTTGAACCTCTCCCGCTGCGCTGATAATGTACAAAGTACTTATGATGAGTAGCGATATTGAATATTTGATTGCCAACAGATTTACCAAGCTGTCATTCAAACAGTATATATACAAATTAAAAAAAAAAGGGAAAACACGCCTAACTGGATATAGGCTACAGCAGTCGGCTTAATTAAATGTCACAACAGGCCGCTCTCTTTTAACACAGACTTTTAAGAAGGGATGGATGTTTTCTTCAAGTGATAGGCCAGGTAAGTGAAATTATATTATCTTGCTGTATGTGTGTCGTTTTCTTTACGTTTTCTGACTAAAAGCAACCAAAAAGCCATTTTAAAGTGGTTAAGCAAATAATAATAATCGGCAGGGATCCCAGACCAATACAATTAGTGTGCCTCCTCTATTTAAAACCCACGAACCACCACTGATCAAGACTAGCCATGTGCGCTAGTAAAGTAAATAAAGTCAATTTTAATTTCATGTGGACTTTAACTGTGTTAATGAGTGAATCACTGAATCATTTATTCAACCGATTCGTTCAAAAATCTGATTCATTCAATAAGTAAACACTGTGACGCAAAACA